ATACTTAGCCTCAGACAAAGTACCTTCAACTTCCAATATAAGAGTATGAGCTATGGGGACCATCCGGTCATTTGTGTATTTGCTGTGAGGAACTACACTCCAGTTAAATTTTTTTAGTGATCCTGCCATCAGTCTCAGAAGTTTTAAAACATGCTGATATAAGTTAGTGTTGTTGCACTGGAATTCAACCTGTGATAGAAAGGCATTAAAGAGGGAACATCATACCATATCATGTACATTACTGTGCAAAGTAAAAAAATGAATGGAAATAATGTTATCAAAAACCTAATAATATTATTTTATGGAAATATGTTGGTTTATCTTTTAAGGGATAATTCACACGTGTATCTGCTGTGCAGCTGTACAAACATGTTTTAAGTGGAGACAAATTTTCCACAGAAACCTTGATGGTGTCCACATTCTAATGTGTCTGACAAACAGCGAGTCTGGCATTTTTCCAGTTTCTTTTTTCTGCCAGGTGGACTAAAGCATTCCATAGTCCCTGGATATCCCTTTGATAATGTGGTATTCCTTATTGGTATTTGCACCATTTGACTACTTTTCAGTAACTTAAACTCATGCTTCTAGATTCTCCCAATTATTCTCAGTAAGAAGGTGGTATGTGGAGTTTTCACTCTGGACCATCCAGGCTAGGACACAGAACTCATGTCATTCCTTCATATGATATTTCAGAGCAATGACACAAAGATCAGGACACACTCAACAAAAAGCTCTGTATTGGGAGTCTCAGACTTCAAAATAATTTCTCATTGACCTTATGACAGGCTACCAGAGCAGGATGCTCAACCTCTCCATTTTAAGTAATACATTAGCCCATGTATTTCAAAACGATATGTAGTATTGTCTGGTGCATATGACCAGTCCTCAGCACATGTCCCTGTAACCTCAAAGATCTGTTACCTTTGTCTTTTCCACCTCACAAGTGAGGCATGGTTCAATTTCAAGCCAAAAATAAAAAGCCCTCTGATCCACAGTTTGATGGCAACAGACCCCTCACCACCTTTTTTCACACCAGTTCAACATGTGCAAGGGGCTTCAGTCCCAGTCTTCCAGAATCCTCAGACCCCTACCTGGCAGCATGAAAATGCTAACCAAGTTGCCAATGTTGACTCACTCTGCATGAAAAACTTCACAGGAGGATCTTCTGCCTACTAGCTTTCACCTCCACTAACTGTCAAATTCTCTATAGAATCACTTCAAGAAAGATCACGTAAAGAAAGACAATCACTATTTATCTGCCTTGGACTCCTCTTCCATTTTCTCCTAGAATCAAACTTCATGAGACACAGTTCTATGTTTCTAAAGTGTATCACCTTTGTTTTACACTCTAAAAGTCAACTCAAGACTTACTGTAGCACTAAATACTGGCAGGGGTACTGACCTACTTTGGATGCAACTTTTTATTCCTCTCCTGGCCTGGACAGCTGGGTGAAGAGACAAGAAAGAATTGGACTGACACCACACCTTCCTTAGAACATGCTGTCTTGGGTTGCAATGCAAGATGTAACCAAATGTATTCTATTACCATCTGTTAAAACCAGGCGGGGCAGTGCTCTTTAACTCTTCCATGACCCATCCCTCATAACTCCAGGGGGATCTTCTGTTAATGGCCATTGAGTCTCAGTGCATGACTGATAAATTTACATCATCCCACTGTGACATGCTCCAGCCAGGGGGAGAAGCCAAGCATTCCTACCTGGATATAATCTGAGAATTGGAACACCACAGGCAGCCTTTCTGCACTGGATTCCCAGAGGAAAACAGGACCCACCTACACCACCACTGGACCTTCAGGGGAAAACTACACCCTTCTACAGGACCCCTGCTTCAACAGGACCACATCTGTCACTCCAGGAAGACTGCAGCCACCATTTAATCGGACTGCTACCAACAGGGAGTCAGGTTGTATTCTGACTCTGTCAGGTTTTTTTTTTTGTACTACTACATTTTTATCTTAATTTTACTAGTAAAGAACTGTTATTCCTACTCTTGTATCTTTGCTAGAGACCCCCTTGATTTCAAGATTATACTAATTCAGAAGGGGGGAGAGGGGGAAATTTCTCCATTTCAAGGGAAGTTCCTGCCTTCCTTAGCAGACACCTGTTTTTTCAAACCAAGACACCTGCAAGAATCTACGTTTTGAGAAAGGTTTTGGACTGTGTGGGTCTTCTTCTTCTCATGACAACAAATATGCCTAACCTTGCATGAGATACTTCTGTATGATGCCTCAAGGTAATGTATCACCAGTAGTTTTCATGTTTGGCTTCTCCATTATACAATTTGCACCTTCACACTCATCTATGAGATACAACATTACCATGGTCGCCTCATCCTATATGGGAATGCTTTCAGATCTCACTTACTTCATCAGTCATCGTATGTGGCACTGGTAGAATACTCATGGGCATGACTTTGTAAGTTCACAAAAGAAAGGCTGGTGCCAAACCTCACAAAAGCCAGAAGAGCATTCACTGTGGAAAAGATGCTGTAACCTTACCAATAGACATAATACAGCAATGTGTGGACAAAATTTCAGCTATTTTCAGTCTGTGGGGTGGTGGTGCAGGATAACTTATCTTCTGGGTGACCTTTGCAAATTTTTGTATTTACACAAAAATACATGTATCACTGATCCATCACCTAGTTATCATTGATACCTTGTCAGAAAGACTAGTACATCATACTACACTGAGTGGAATATATAGTCTAAAGTCCTAGATGACAATCTCAGAATGAAGATCAAAATTTTGGCTTCAAATATATAAGAGAAATGTTGGTCCATTTTACTCCTACTTGTTTACTGAATATATTCCTTGTTCTCTAGTTAGGAAGAATTGTCTGGATTTTCCTTCTCACTCCTCTGATCTGGCAGTTTTATCTGTATTATGACAAAAGGGGAAATAAAAATGAAATTATATTGGTGTACATAATGTTCATCAACTGCTATGGAATCAAGGACTTTTTATTTCTTACAGACTCCCTAACTCCTACTTCCTGCATTGTACCACCCTTCTCATTCTCACTGCCAAAGTGATTCTTTGTTTATAAATTGGTAAGACCCTTTAGTCTGACCCTTCTGAACAGTTCATATCTATCCAAACAAACAGTCTTCACCAAAAAACAAGTTTAAAAAGAGACCAGGAGCTGTGTCTGTGCCTTTTATGGTACTGATGAGGGTCTAGACACCTTTTATCGTAAGAGTTCCACCAGAAGCCATGCTTGATCAGGGTGCTTGCTAAGAAATACCTCTGTGAGCTGCATCTGCTAAGCAGTCCTATGCAATGTTATCTGTAGATAAGCTTGAAGATCATTTGACAGACTAGTCTTCAAGCAGTAAAGCTGCTATGCAAAGGTCCTTACCCCATTTCAATTTAAACATTTGTTGGAACTACTGCTTGGGGTCACCTACTGCAAGAAGACATGCATCCTGTCATTTGCTGACTGAAAGATAAACCAAGCTCTTCACTGACATACACAATTGACAGGGTGTAAAGCCTGCTTTACTCATCCACTACTTTCAATCCTTTAACATAATCTACCTTTAGGATTTCGCAGTTTTAAGATGGTCCCTACAATATGTGCTCATAACTGCTGCAAGGTAGAAGGTGAGGATTGAGCTCACTCCTCTGGACGCTACAAAGATGCAAAACCAAACTGCATGATTAGGATATACATGAAAACGTATTTAAACTATGTTGCAATAATACAAAACAAAAACACACACCCAAATTACATAATGATATTGCTGTTTCCAAAGGAGTAGATACAGCCATAATCAAGAGAATAATATTCTCCTTCTCTTCCACCATTGTCTCTTTGTTATCAAGTATTCAATTCCTAGTGCTTACAGTTTGGCACCTTTATTATGTTCTGCATAGTAACTCCCCCTGCAAAGGTCTTTGTGGGATGCTATTCCTGCCACAGAATAACTGCCATCAGAACAACCCCTTCATAAACAAGTCACCAATTTTCTGTTTAGCTCCCAAGAGTGCCTCCCTGCATGATAAGATGAAAATGATTACCAGCACAAGAGAACAGCAGTAGAGTAAACCCAGGATTTGGAAGTGCCCCTTCAGCACCCCCAGTTATTAGCCATCATTAGTTTAGCTTACAAAAGTAGCTATATGTTTAGAATTGGAGTGTCTGTCAATTCACACAGCATAACTAACTGAGCCAAGTTATGGGTAAAGACAGAATGTCAGTGGTAATGGGTAGGAATCAAAAAACAAAACAGTAATTGCTATGCAAAAAGTTCTAAAAATATCATACTTGCACAGCAAGGAATTACAAAACAGCGTGGCTAAACAATCTACATTGGGTTTTGACCTCTTTTTTTGCAAGACACATTGAAGAAACCTCAGTAGCAGATATGACAGAATTTATAGAAAGTTAACACAAAAAAAAGGATCTATTTGAACTGAACAGTTTTGTAAAATGCTGCCATAGCAAAGGGAAAACAAAGTGTACTTCATGCCTATATTGGATACACAATGATTTTTGAAAAATCCAATTTCTTTTAGTATCTGTGATTATTATCCTGGTCAGGTTCAGATTTCAGAAGGTACCTGAGTTTCTGATAAATTAAATAACTTCTTAAGATAGCATAACCTGTGTAAATAACATTATTCAAATACATTGTTACCATCTCCCTTTCCTACTTCCTGATCCTTTCCTCTACACTGGAAATAATTCTCTACACAACAAAGACAAGTTGCTCACTGCCTTCATAAAATTTAATTATACATAAAGTACATTTTATTTATTGAAACCCTTAGTGGATTCCCTATTCTCAGTTCCTCTGGTCTCAGTTTAAAAACTTGCAAATATAATATGAGGTATAAGCTCTGAGGGAAGTTCTTTTCCTAGTTAGCTCACTCACAAACATGTATCTCTAAGAAACAATCTCCAATATTTACAGTGAGTTAATACTTCAGCCTTAGTATAATTAAGTTAAAATTCAATTAGCAATGAGACCCAAATCCAGTCTTAATTACTTTACTATCTCTTCCTCATTCATTCTAGAGGACAAACCTGGTCTGCAGATGATTAAGATGGTTTGCAATGAGGAAGTTTGGCTGCTAGAATCCCATGTCGTTTGTCTCAGAAGAAATCAAAAAACAGATGGGCTCATTCAGAATTAAAACCTTGCCTCCTTGTTTATATGGGGAAGGACTACACAAAGGTAACATCAAGATCTGGGAAGGAAAAATAAAGTGAAAAGTAAGTCAGAAGACTCAACACGTGACATCCTGTCTTATAAAGAGAACTTCCAAGCTCACGTATATATAAATCAGTTCTGATTTATACTGATGGTTTCACAACGTAGACAAAATCTCCATAGGCCAAGTGAAAATGCTAAAATAGGAACTTCAAACTGACCACTCCTGAAAGACACGCCAGCACCATGATTATTCCATGTAAAGGGCAAGTATGAGTAAATCCTGACAACATGCTATTATACACTCAACTCCAAGTCAAAAATCAGTGACATACACCTCTGATGTGCTACAGAGTGAGGATGATAGAGATGAAACAGTTGTGTTTGTAACAAATGATTTAATTAATCTAAATGTACAAGGGCACCATGGTTTTGACAGTGAATCCTAACTGCCCATTCCTTATTTCCTGAGCACCCACCTTGACACCTTGGATCTGATGATCCAAGTCCATACTAAAATAAATGGGTACATATGCTAAATAAAAGTACTTTCCTATGTTACAAGTTCTTAGAAATCACAGCCCTGTGATAGAAACTAAATAGATACTAAGTTGGACATCCAAATTTAGTACTTTTGACCTCTATTTTAATTTTTTGATCATTAAGTTGATGTTGCCTAAATAGGTTCCTGGAAGAGGCTGGAGTCTTTACAAGGAAGAAATGAGATCATTTACCTCAGTCCACACAAAAATCTACAATGCTTTGTGCTTTATTTAAGAACTGTTATCTCTTGATGTAGTTTTAATCTTCATGACTTCATACAAAAAATGCATCAGTGATGCAGAAGTTACTAGAGGTGAAGCCAAAGGTTTGAGTGAAAATAATCTTACCAGAGAAGGTTTGCAAGTGAATATTAACTGGTATTAACTTAGTTTTGCTTAAACAACCTACTGGCATCAATATGACTAACTACACTGTTATTATCAATGTTTACTGTTTCCAAATGTATACAAAGGCAGAAAGACAGGACAGAAATTTATCACTGCAGTATTATGTTTACTACCAAGACAGAAATGGAAGGAAGGAAGCAATAAAACTAGATTAAGATGAACAGTCCAGTGATGGAGAAACCCTGAGACCACAAAGCACAAGACTCTGTCTGCAGTACTAAACATCTTTGTTGGGCTAATAACATAATATTGAAATAGATTCATTTAAGGCATATTTTAAGTTCTGTCACAGTAGGATAGGATGTAAGAATCTAATTTTATTTCCAACTGGTCTTAGGCTCTTGCTATAGCCTCCCTGAAAGCCTTCCAAATTCAAGGTACACTCCACTACTGAGAATGACAGAGAGATGGTTACTTACATCACCTATGTGATGTTTCTTTCTTCTCTAAACTTGTAAAACCTATTTTCCAGAAAACCTGAAAAATTTATTTGGAAGCACAGTCTCCTAGCTTTCTGCTAGTCTATAAAACATAATGGGGAGCCAGATACTTGCAGTTTGCTCCAGGGACTGGAGTGAGAAATGACTTTTTTATATTAATTTAGATATCATCTCAGTTTTAATTCATGCCAGGTTCAGTTAACCATGCAAATAAAGATGTTTATTCACAATATCTGAAACAGATAACAAGATTATAAATGCATAAATAGAGGAAAAATCAAAGAAAAAAATTACTCTTCTGAAGTTAAGTAACAGAAGTTTTGGTTTCCTCCTGTCAGGATGCCTTGCAGATTTTCCTAATTATCCGTCTTCCTAAATTAATATGTTCTTTCACTTACTTAGACTTTCACACCTCAGACTGCAACCTTCATGGAAAATCACACCAGTGATTATAAATCACCACACCAGTGCTGCTACATTCACCACAAGCCGGCAGTCTGGAGCCTTCTCTAGGAATCGTAGTTACTTACTCTTTCTTTTGACTGTCACCAGATCACCACCTCCGTGTTTTATTCATCACATTACTTGGTTATTTGTGAGAAGACATTCTGGATCCAGCTTTGCTCAGATTTTTAAGACCCAATTTACAAAAATATTATTTTTGTAAAAGAGCAGAGAAACTCCAGTTACTTCAATCAATCTGTGATACACATCTGTAGATAATATACAGAATCACTGATTGGTTCTCAAGCCACCTACAAGATAATTTAGAGAAACAATTAACTTTCATTAATCTCAACTTTCATAACCCTCAAGCTAATTCTCAGAATAAAATGTATGAAAAAAAATAAGAGGTACAGAGAAATGATTACAGAAAGAGCAACACAGAGTGCAAAAGTGCAAAATTAATTTCCAATCTTTACAATTAAGTTAGTGTACAATTTTCAACTATGAATTGTGGAACTCTCTAAAGTCACAGACTTTAACTTTATGTAAGAGTACAAATGCTTGGAAAACTTTTAACTTTTTGTTAAAAAAAGCAATTAACAAAGCCACATACTCTGATATTCAATCTTTCCATATTGTGATAAACACAACCATGTCATTCCAACTTGAATTTTTATAGTTGAATTTTTATAGTTCTCTAAAAGATGCTTAATGAGGTAACATATTTTGATACTAATAATAACAGTTGTTGATATCATCACCTCCGTAATTTCCCATCAGCAGAGTGGTGACTGAGACTTCTTACCTAAGCTCTCACACCTCTATTACTGTGTCTAGTAGGAAGAGCTAGTGAAGATCAAATTTTATTTTTAAGCAGTTCTATTCATATAACTGCACTTTGTAACTGTGGAAACTAAGCAAGTCCAAGTAACTTCACCTGAAATCACTCCAGCCTCAGATGCTTGGCCTCAGTCATCTACAGTAACTAATATATGTACTATATATATAATATTGTCTGTAAAAGCATATATATATATACACACACAATGATACACTGGAATTCTACCAATAACAAGAAACTGAAAATGAAAAAGAAATAAGGAAAAAAGGACTGTCTGCCCACAGTGTAACAACTATTTTGTCAGGAGTTTGAGTAGTGTATGACTGAAAAAAAAACCAAAAAAAAAAACCCAACAACTTGACATGAGATTTCCAAAGGAAGTATTAACTACAACAGATCATTTACTGTATGTTGACTGGCAGAATCCATTTAGAAAATCACATGCATACTTAAGTACAAACATATACCTAAAACAACAGAATGTTGAAGAACTCTACTATTTCAAATCAAAAAGATACCAACTGATCTCTTCACGTACTGCCTATAACCAACCCAAACACTCTTTACAAAATCTGTTGAAAATAAAAAAAACCGGAAAATTAAGTGATGAAAATAATGCAGATCAAAAAGTAAGGACTTGCTTAAGCACTGTCTCTCTGAATACTCTCTTAATCTAAAATTTAACATTGTTTCCAAACCAGTACTGTTTACAGTACTCCTAAGGTTTTTCTCCTGTTTTCACTCCCAGAGATAACCAGAGTTATGACTACCAACACTTAAAGCAACGAAAGTGAAATCTATGACTGCCTCTGGGAATTTGACAACAAATGTCACAATCACAGCATATTATATCTCTCTCAGCTTTCCGGAGAAATGGCATACACCTGAAGAACGCAACAGCAAACCACCCTTCTTCACCCTCACCCCACCTGAAAAGTCTGGATCACTCGGCCCATTGGTAACCTTAACTAATGTTTCTCAATTGGAGAAGACAATCACCGGCCTAGAACAGAACACCAGAATCGGAGGAGCTTCATCCAGAACATGACCTTAAGCATATAGCTGGCCACCGTTTCCCCGGCGCAGTGCATTCCCTTCAGCCCTGAACATCCTCCCCTGGGATGCCTGCTCAGGGGAGACTCGAGCGCCACGTCAAGGGCCCTCCCGAGGCAGACTCACTATATCACAACAGCGCCCAGAACCAAACCCGCTGTGCGTTAGACCACGCATACCCATCAAGGTGGGTTTAACTGCGGATACGAACAATGGAGGCTAAATTCCTGACAGGGCGAGGGCTGCGCTCGGAACAGCGTGTCCGTGCCCGCTCCAGCCGGCCTAGGAAACCCTCTCCGCGGCCGACCCATGGGGAATGCGAGGCGCTCGCCCGCAGCCTCCCGAGGAAGGCGCGGCCGGCCGCGGCAGAGGCACTGGAGGTCCCTCCAGGCCTGAAGCACCGCAGGAACCGCTCCGAACCCGGCCCGCCACCCTCAGAACCATCTCATGCACCGCCCTCAGCCGCCCCAGCAACGAAGTGGGGTGCGACCAGCGGCCGCGCCCTTGAGGAGAAGGCCGGTGTCGGGCCCCGACCCGCATAGGGCGCCGCCGGGACTCGGATGCGAAGGGAGCCCGCAGCCCCTGAACACCG